TATACTGTTTATTATTTATATTATATATATATATATACTATGTATTATCTATATTATATTATATTATATTATATATATATATACTATGTATTATTTATATTATATATATATATACTATGTATTATTTATATTATATTATATATACTGTTTATTATTGCTATTATATTATATATATATATATGTACTGTATATTATTTCTATTATTTTATTTATTAGTTATATACTCTAATTTACACTGTTAGTTAGCATTTTGCTAACATTAGCATATGCAGTGAGTTATTCCTTTGATCAATTAGTGATTGATTGATTGGGATATTTGTGTGTGTGTGTGTGTGTGTGTGTGTGTGCTGCAGGAACGTCGTCTCCACATGTACGTGGTTTACTGCCAGAACAAGCCGAGGTCAGAGTTCATCGTCATCGAGTACGAGAACTTCTTTGAGGTAAGTCGTCACTTCTGTGTCTGATGTTCCTGATATTCAGATTTTTTGTTGTTATGATATTCTGTATTTTTCTTCTCGTCAACAAACATGGTCGACAGGGTTCCTTTATTATGAACATGAACATACAGGAAATGGCTAAATGTTTGTTATTTATTTATCTTCTTCTATTGCTGTAATTAACGATTATCGATCGATTTGTTGTTTTTTTCACATAAAATGTCACAAAATAAAGCAATACGACCATTTTAATATCCCAGAACACAAAGTAACCACTAACAGTCATAAACAGAAACGTCCCTGCTGCAGGCTTCACTAAACGGGCTGATTTTTGAATGGAGTTTGGTGCGGAGGAACAGCAGCAGAACCAAAGAGTCACTCAGATCAAATAATTGTTCTGCAACACAAACAGACGACTTATATGAGCTAGAAACTAAACCTGTCTGTCTGTCTGTCTGTCTGTCTGTCTGCAGGAGATCCAGCATGAGATCAGCTGCAGGATGTCGATCAGTGATTATCTGATCAAACCCATCCAGAGAATCACCAAGTACCAGCTGCTGCTGAAGGTCTGTGAGCACAAACATTATGGATTTATTTCTCTCTCATCAGAATTTATAAACACAATTATACATTTTTCAACTTCTTTATTCCTTTTTTCTTGTTTGTTTCTCAGGATTTTCTCAAGTACACGTCCAAAGCAGGACTGGACTGCGAAGAGATTGAGGTGAGTCGGTGTTATAACTTACTTTTCCCAACCTTTGGGTGGTGTCGCTTGTCGATGTCACACTTTGCTCAGGCAGTAGGGATGAGCGAGTACACTATTATCTATATCTGTACAACCAACTACGTTATCTGTACTCGAGACTTTTAACTTTTCAAAGTTAATTTTAGCCTGAAATTGTTATGGCTTCGTCAGAAGTTGCTGTATTTATTAGAACACTATTTACTATTTATTTAATTACCAACAAAAAGTAGACCCCTTAGACTAGAAGAAGCTGCTGTTGTCATGGTGATGATGATGTTAAATGATTTACAGGATGGTGAATCATCAAACCTCTGTATTATTTAAGAACTCTTGTTTGTGTACAGAAAGCGGTGGAGCTGATGTCCATGGTACCGAAACGCTGCAACGACATGATGAACCTGGGACGCCTGCAGGGATACGAGGTACCCCTGTCTGTCTACCTGTCTGTCTACCTGTCTGTCTGAGCTTCAATATTTTAATATGAATTGTTGCTCTTACTCTTCGTCTGCAGCTCTATGTAGTTTTTTAGCCTCTTTTAGCTCCCCGTAGCTTTATCTTATGTATTTGTCCTTGTACGGAAAGTTAAAAAACTCCTAACCCAGTTGCCGGAGGTTGTGTTTACAGTTTGTAAAAATTAAAATATGAAGGGGCCAAGAATAGAACCCTGAGGAACCCCACAAGTAATTATTAACAATGTCAACAGGATGATATTGCTGTCAGTAGTTAGCTATTGCTAACATGTTTGATTTGGAGTTCAGCTTAGTGTTCTGCCGCCGCCAAGTGGCCAAAACAAATATTGCAGCTTTAAATTAACAAAAAAGAGAGACAAGATGAAACGGACTCTCACCTGTCTGTCTGTCTTCCTGTCTGCGGTCCAGGGGAAGTTGACGTCTCAGGGGAAGCTGCTGCAGCAGGAGACGTTCTGTGTTTGGGAGCAGGACGGAGGAGTTCTGTCTCGCAGTAAAGAGCGAAGAGTGTTCCTGTTTGAGCAGATTGTCATTTTCAGTGAACTGCTGCGTAAAGGCTCCAACAACCCGGGATACCAGTTCAAGAACAGCATCAAGGTCAGACTGGTTTACGCTGGTTCAGCACTGTGTCAGACTGCCTCCTACTGGGAGTAACGGGCCGTGTTTGTGTGTGTGAGCAGGTGAGTTACCTGGCGATGCAGGACAGCGTGGACGGGGAACCCTGTAAGTTCGTGTTGTGGTCTCGTGGCTCGGCGGAACGCTTCACGCTGCAGGCGTCCTCCACCAGCATCAAGATGACCTGGGTGGAGACCATCGCCACCCTGCTGGACGCCCAGAACAACTTCCTGTCAGGTGAGTTACTCAAATCTCATCCTCGAGTCTCTGAGAAACATCCTGAATCCTCCTGGTGTGAATCTCGTTGAACCTCACTGTCCACAGCTCTTCAGTCTCCCATTGAGTACCAGAGGAAGGAGGGCGGGATCTCTGTGACCCGCCCTCTATCGTCAGGGCGACCTCCGTCAGCCCCGCCCACGCCCAACGGCCACGCCCCTCAGCCTCCTCCGGACAGCGAGCAGGACGACCAGGTTTGCATTGAGCTGCTCGATCTTTAAAGAAAGTTGAGTTTGGAGCCGTGAGATTTCATGCTGTGACCTCTGACCCCCCTCAGGAGCTGGTGCTGGTGCTGCAGGACTTCGTGGCGGTGCGGGAGGACGAGATCTCGGTGTTTCGTGGGGAGAAGGTTCAGATCCTGGCGTCCAACCAGCATGGTCAGAGTCTGGTCTACCGGCCGGCCAACAGTGACTCACCGGCCGCCGAGGGCTGGGTGCCGCGCAGCGTGCTCAACACACACTGACACACACACACACACACACACACACACACAGACAGCAGGGTTCGTTTACACACACACACACACACACACTGACAATACTGCTCACTAACAGGGCCAAAGGCATGCTGGGAAATTACTTTATGACTCTGTGGAGCCTTAAGATGGTCAGTTACTCAAAAAATTCAATCTATTACTCGTTACTCTTTTAAAAAGTAATATTACTTTACTTATTATTCCCAACAGTAATTAGGAGAAATACATTTGTCACAGTTAAGAAGTTAAAACCAGAAAGTGTTTATGCTTAATCAATAATTAAATCTTTCTATTTACGTAGATCAATTGAACAATTGAAATGTGCTCTGCTGCCCCCTACAGGCAGGGATAACACACACAGGTGTAAAGACATCCTGCTAGTGTCCTCTAGAGGGAGCCCTTCTAATCCACCAGACTCCATTGATAAAAACACTGATTTTACCTCAGAACAGAGGAGTTTTTCTGCTCTACCGCTGCCTCACTCTGTGAGTCTGTTTGTGTGATTGTGTGACTTTAATGTTTTTGGAGAGAGCTGTCTGACAGCGAGGTGAAGTGGACAAAATATTCTAAACATAGCGTAAACTGATTTATTAAAATAGCTTACATTATGCTGCCACAGAAGAACTCACAAACTGTGAATTTCTTGCATTTTTCCTCCATATGATCCACAACTTTTAAATAAAGTTGTTTATTGTTGTTGTCATTGTCATTCTCTAGTGATAGTTTATGCTGCAAAGTGCCAGATAATAGTGAAAAATGCCCATGGCAACTCCAAGTCTCACAATTGTTTTTTGGACAAATGAACACAGCAGAACTAAAATATATTTAATTTTAATGACATAAAAGAGAGAAACCGACTTTACTTTAGTGAGTGAGTGAGTTTCTTCTGATTAAACTCAATCAGATATCCAACTTTATGTTTCTCTATCCTTAACTGATTGATTACTGTGTGGCCCCTCAGATTCATGTTGTGACCCTTTAGAGGGCCCCCAACCGTCCTTTAGGCTCCACATTCACAACTAATGAGAGATAAAGTTTCCTAACACACTTCAGGCCCTGATTGATGCCAGTATCACACACACACACACACACACACACTCCAGCAGCAGGTACTGTTACTCTCCTCCCTCCTTCCTGGTGCTTCAACATTCAGCCAAAACGCCGCACTCACCTCGGCCAATCAGACGCCGCCGCCACCGCCGTCACGGCCGGCCTCCAGTTTACTGCCCCGAGCAACCACTCTGATGACATCACAAACTGTTTCCTGTGGGTCAGCGGGAGGGAGACCACGCCATCATCACCACCGCCACCGCCATCGCCGACAGACTGGTATTCCAGGAAGCTGCGGTTGCCTAGCAACAAGAGACAATTTAAAAAAAAGAAAAGAAAAGAAAAAAAAGAACTTCCTGGAAGAAGAAGAGGTGAAACGACCCGTCAGCCAATCAGAACTGAGCTCTGTCTGCGTGTCATCCTGTTAATAGTGTGTATAAACAGACTGAGGACACACACACACACA